CTAGCTATATTCCATGGAAAATAAAGTATTCTACAATATGATATATACTAGCTATATTCCATGGAAAATAAAGTATTCTACAGTATGATATATAAGCTATATTCCATGGAAAATAAAGTATTCTACAGTATGATATATACTAACTATATTCCATAGCATATAAAGTATTCTACAGTATGATATACACTAGGGAACTACACATATATTGAATATATATATAGAATTTATTAAATTAGCATATCATGAGTAATAATAAATTGTTGCATTCCATGAACACAGGCATTATGCAGTTTATTGAAGAGAGATATCGCCATGAGTTTTAAAAGTAAAGGCAATTCTTTGGTTTCTGTGATGGCGTGTAATGTGTCACTAGCAGCGTTTGTTGAAGAAGACAATTGGCCGGAGCAATTTATAAAGGTAATTCCTCAAAATAGCTAAATTATATAGTCAGTAATTGGTTTATTATTTTTTATTGGAGGGATGAATAGGTGAAAAATATACAGTGTATAATATACTGTTTATACAAGAGGTATAAATCTTTTTTCCCACCTGAAGTAATTCTTTTTTTTTACCAATATTTCACTTAGAAACATTGTTGTCCTGTTGGAGAACTTTCATGCAATTCATGTTATTATTGGCTCAACGGGCCATAGGTCCGCTGAGCCTATGGGATGGGTTTCTGTCCTGTGTCTGTCTGTGCACGACTTCTTCTCAAAAACCGCTGAGCCGTTTGACTCGATTTTTGGTGTGTAGATGCCTTGATGAGTGTAGATGGTAAGTTATTCATGAGAAGTTGATCTGCCAAAAATTATGCAAATTGGGCCCTCAAAACTCTAAAATGTCTTCTATGCTACTATGACACTAAGTGGTCTACATTGCTGATATGGATAGTGCATGTGCTTTGGGTTGTCCTCTATCAGTTTTGTTAATTCGCCTAATTTTGGCCAATATTGTAAAATGGTCATTTTTGGTCAAAAATGCTATCTTCGACTTCTTCTCTGAAACTGATGGCCCGATTGCACTCAAACTCGCGTGGTATATACCTTGGGTGGACCTCTAATCACATTTGTTCATTTCATATCTCATATCTTCAATTTTCTATTTTTAGCGAATATTTTTTGTCATTTTTGGTCAAAAATGCTATTTTTCGACTTCTTCTTTGAAACTGGTAGTCCGATTGCTCTCAAACCAGCATGGTATATACGTTGGGTGGACCTCTATCAGATTTGTTCATTTTGTGTTGACATATTTTGTCATTTTTCATTAAAAATAGTACTGTAAAATCTGTATTAGAAACCGCGGCTTCTATTAAAATGGTACAAAGCAACAGAGGGGATGCGGCTTCTATTAGAGCATCTACACATATGAGAAATGGTAAATTTTAGATTCTCAATTATTCAAAAAGAATGGGTGCGACTTATATTAGGGATGCGGCTTCTAATACAGATTTTACGGTACTTTTTTCTTATTCTTCAAAACCAGTAGTCCAAATTCTTTGATATTTGGTACACATGTAGCTTGGATGACACTTCACCCAGTCACTAAAAGTGGCCAAATTTACCAAAAATGTTAGAAATTCATGATTGTTTTTATTACCTTCTCCTTAATGCACTACAGTTGTTGGAAAATGATGCCATATTGAAATTATATGCTCACAGGGAGATATGTAATGTTTCCCATTTGTTCTGTCAACTGTTTCTCATTCTCACATAGCACATGGTTTTCTTTGATTGGTCTATTATGATTGTAATGAAAACATAACCACTCAACATATTTAAATGTGTATAACATGATTGATTTTGGTGGAAAATTATGCAAATTGCCTAATTTACATACCAATATTTAGGCTATTTTGGTGATATCTTGAAAACCATTTAATATGTTTCAATAAAACTTGGTACATAGATGTGTTGGGGTAGTTTCCAGATATATTTAGTTTTTGGTGGAAATTTATGCAAATTAGATAATTTGCATATCAGCTAGTGAAATAAAAGCTATTTGGGTGCTATTTCAAGAACCATTCAACATATTTCAACAAAACTTGGTATATACATATATTACGAATTCAGATAATTGCAAATATCATGTTATTCTCTCAACACACTGGAGTTCTTTTTAAGCTCTCTTTGATTCTAATTTTATTGAATATTTCTGTTATTTTTGTAACAAATTCCACT